AATTAGTTTGTAAATTAGTCTTGATATAATTCATTTCTAGAATCTTTTATTGTAACTCACTAGTAGCATGCGAAGTGTACACGTAATTCACATGACTGCTAGGTGCGCATTTTCTTTTAATAAACGATTTATCTATCTATTTATCTAAATTATCCCGAATTTACTTTTCCTTTCCAGAGTCCTTGTGAGAGTTTTCCCTGTCAGCACGGTGGAACCTGCCGAGCGCTTTACGAGACTAACGACTACCAATGTAAGTGCACACCAAACCTCAGCGGCAGAAACTGTGAGAACGGTGAGTGAAGTCAATCTTTCTGTGGACGTTTAGAAGTATATATAGAGCCATTGGAATTATCCTTTTTTGAGGTAGATTCTCATTAATTTGTGGTGGATTACATTAACGTTGATTACGTCAGGATTGAGGTGTGACTCATGAATAAAGTTCGCGGGAAACTTTTTAATTTATGCGGAACATGTCTCAGGGGCAAGTACTAGTAATGACGTCACATGCACACATGCATACATACATACATAAACTTTATTTAAGCGTCAATAAGTATATAGCTCTAAGGTAAGAGCTAATTGCGGACACTTAATTAAAAAGGTAAAAATTGAACAATAAAAGAAATTAGAAATTTAAATAAAATTTACAATTCATTATAAAAAAATAAATTATTCACAATGCTAACTGTAACCTATTTGCTAATTGTGACCTATAAGCAGTATGAAATTAGTTAAAATATAAATAATTTAAGGGGGACGAAAGTCCGCAGTCTTGGTCAGGACTGGCACATTTGTCAATTGCAGCTCCCGTCCAACAATCCGGTTATGTCCATTCCANTAGAATCTTTTATTGTAACTCACTAGTAGCATGTGAAGTGTACACGTAATTCACATGACTGCTAGGTGTGCATTTTCTTTCAATAAACGATTTATCTATCTATTTTTCTAAATTATCCCGAATTTACTTTTCCTTTCCAGAGTCCTTGTGACAGTTTTCCCTGTCAGCACGGTGGAACCTGCCGAGCGCTTTACGAGACTAACGACTACCAATGTAAGTGCACACCAAACTTCAGCGGCAGAAACTGTGAGAACGGTGAGTGAAGTCAATCTTTCTGTGGACGTTTAGAAGCATATATAGAGCCATTGGAATTATCCTTTTTTGAGGTGGATTCTCATTAATTTGTGGTGGATTACATTAACGTTGATTACGTCAGGATTGAGGTGTGGCTCATGAATAAAATTCGCGGGAAACTTTTTAATTTATGCGAAACATGTCTCAGGGGCAAGTACTAGTAATGACGTCACATGCACACATGCATACATACGTACATAAACTTTATTTAAGCGT